TTAGAAAAGTAGGGTTTGGCAGCTGTTTGTAAATGGAGCCTGTATACTTTCCTTTTCTTTACAATTTGTTTCAAAGAACTGTAAATTAAGACTGCTTACAAATGGAAAAGAGTTCTTAAGTTGTATAAATTTTGCTTTCTGAAGAGGAAGTATGCTAATGAAGTTATAAATCCTTTGAAAGTTGAAATTATATCAAAACTTTTGGTATCTCCTAGCACAGTTCCGAGTTTGTAGTAGCAATTCAATAATATTTATTAACTAGGACTGGCTTATTTGTAACAAAGTCAGCTGGTGAAATGAGTCCAAATCTCTGAACTTTTGACAGAGGCTGGGATTGGGTAGAGTTTAAGATGGGCATGTTCTAAGGGTTTATATGAGGGGACTGATTTGGGCAATCCTTGAATCAATAGTATGGTGTACAAACGCAAATGTGAGTGCAGAGGATTATAAATTTATGGCATGGGGTAGAAAGGATGTGACTGGAGTTTTCTCAAGGTCTGTTGCTCCTGCAAGGGGGTTCCTGCTTCAATGGTTCTCTCAGCAACTGAGGACCATCGCTAAGTGGTGCCACAGAACTTGTTGACTGAGAGTTGGGTTGTTTTATAAGGATCCCTGGTGGCACAACAGTTAAGTGCTTGGCTGCTAACTGGAAGGTTGGCAGTTGGAATCTACCCAGCGGCTCCTCAGCAGAAAGACTTGACAATCTGTTCCCGTAATGTTTACAGCCTAGAAAATCCTATGGGGCAGTTTTTACTCTATCACATGGGGTCACTGTGAGTTGGAATCAACTCAATGGCACCCAACAACACCACCAGCATCCATTCAAGGTCCCTAGGTAGCACAAACATTTTGTGGTTGACTGCTAACCTAAAGGTTAGTGGCTCAAACCTACCTAGTAGCTCATCAGAAGAAAGTTCTGGTGAACTAGTTTCATAGAGATTACAGCCAAGAAAACCCTATGGAGAAGCTCTACTCTGTAGCACATGGGATAGTCATGAGTTGGAACTAACTTGACGGCCATGGGTTTGGTTTTTGTGAGCATCCATTCCTTTCCTCACTCCCCTACCCCTAACACTTCAAACAGAAATCTGTTTCAGTTATTCCGCCTCTTCTGTTTGGCCATGTGCTTCAGAGAAAACCGACCCCATGCACAGGGAATGCATCCTGATTACTTTAAACTCGTCACCGATTTCCAGTGCTTAACCACTACGCCACCAGGGCTCCTGTTAGACCCATACTCCTTGCCAATAACTAGTTCATACATGGGTATGTGATCTGACCTAGCCGGTGAATCATAAGAGACAGCCTGCTGCAAAGCTCCTGGGAGAGGTTTCCCTGATCCTGCCAACGAGACCCACAGAAGGAAATGGTTTCTTCCTTCTCTGGATCTAGTAGCAATTGGATGTGACGTCTGGATTTGCACAGCTGTCTTGTGATCATGAGGGGAGCTAGCCCAAGGCGCTCGGTGATACATTATAGACATCAGAGAATTAAGGTGGAGAAAGAACTAAGGCCTTGATAGCATTATTGAGTAAACAAATCACTACTTCTGGACTTACTGCTATGGGGAGTGGTATATGGACCTGTTTACTTTTCCTGTGGCATGTTGAGTTTTCTGGTTTGCACAGGGTCACCAAATTTAACAAGTAAAAATAAAGGATACTGAATTAAACTTGAATTTCAGATAAACAATGAATAATTTTTAGTGTACCATAAGATGTCCAAAGAGATATTTGTCCCATGCAATATATGCACATGCTTATACAAATTTTTTTTGCTGTTATCTAAAATTTCAATTCAAATTTAACAGGGAATCCTTTATTTTATCTGGCAACCCTACACTTTCAGTTAAAAGCAGTCTACTTAGTTCAGTGATGAAAGGCTTGTCTCAGGTCCTATACTTCGTTCAGAAGCAAAAGGTTAAAGTATGTATGCTTAGTTTATTTACCCATTACAGTTTGAATATATACATTTGAAATGCAGCCTCATATTCTCAAGAATTAATTAAAAATGCCAGAATATTTCTCTTTCTGAAGCTTGTCAGTCAATTCCCACTCAGATTTGAAATGTTACCGTGATACACACTAACAGTGGAAGACAGACAGAGTCTCAACTTCATTACTTACTATCTGTATGGCTCTGGACAAATTTCACCATATACATGAGATCATGAATCTCATGTAGGATGAGATACATTATATAAAGCACTTATTAAGTCAGACACATATTATTTGCTTAATGCATACTAGACCACTTTCCTGTATTGATTGTGAGAAGCTGTTTTAGGTGTAATTTTAAGGTCCTATACTAGATGGAAACCCTGGTGGTATAGTGGTTAAGAGCTATAGCTGCTTAACCACAGAGGTTGGCAGTTCAAATCCCCCAGGTACTCCTTGGAAACTGTATGGGTTTGTGGTTCTTTTGGTATACTAAGAAGCAGAAACTGTGGTGGCATAGTGGTTAAGAGTTTGGCTGCTAACCAAAAAGTCGGCAGTTCGAGTCTACCAGGCACTCCTTGGTAACTCTTTGGGGGCAGTTCTGCTATGTCCTGTAAGGTTGCTATGAGTTGGAATTGACTCCACAGCAATGGGTTTATATATAATAATTATTATTATAAAGATTATTATTGTATAAATGAAAAAGGATGGTTTTGCCTTCTCTGGAGGGCAGGGACTATCTTATTTTTAGTATCCTCAGCATTTGGCAGAATGGGTGCCACACACTCAAATGATACACATTCCATAGAATTGACTTCCTCCCTCAGGCAATGAATAGACCCTACAATCTTCCTAGTGTGTTTTCCCACATTCAAACCATCATGTCCATACTGTGATTTTTCTATCCTCAGAAATGACAGCTGTGATGTCAGAATGACAGCTGTGATGTGGGTCTTACTGTGCTTCTATAATCCTGGAGAAGAGAAGAATTGGAGAGGGAGGGAATGACAGCTGCCTTCAAGGAGCTGGAAGGCTGTCAGATGGGAGAGGGGCTTGCTCACACTATAGACGCCAAAAAGGGCAAAACTAGGGTCAAGGAGTAGAAAGTTAAGGGGAGGTGCGGTCAGGTCTGAACAATCAAAGCTGCCCAGTACTGCAATGCCTCAAATGTGGTGAGGTCTTCTCTGCAGAATGTGTTGACTCACAGACTTTGATGAGCGTTATAGCAGTAACTGCAACTTTGCTTTCTTCCTAACTTCTAAAATGGAGCTATTAATCCCAATTCATCAACTCTCAGGTGAGGGATTTGATCCAGCTAAACTTGAAGAGACTGCTCTGTTAGTTTCCAGGCAGCTATAAAGAGCTAGTCGCAGTGGTCTTCAAATTTTGCTGCAGATTAGAATTACCTAGGGAGCTTTGAAAAAGCCCAATGCCTGGGCCACATCTGCAGAGATTCTGATTTAATTAGTGTGTGATGTGGCCTGAGCATACAGGTTTTTTCAAAGCTCCCCAAGTGATTCTAACATGCAGCAAATTTGAGAACCACCGAATTAGTTTGAAAGTCATGATTCTGGATTTTAGTTTGGAATCTGATTTAAATAAAGACATAACATTGAGCAACTCCTTTAACTTCTCTTAGTCCCATTTAAAAAAAGTAAACCCATTGCTGTTGAGTTGATTCCGACTCATAGTGACCCTACAGGACAGAGTAGAACTGCCCCATAGGGTTTCCAAGGAGGGGCTGGTAGATTCGAATTGCCAACCTTTGGTTAGGAGCCCAGCTCTTAACCCCTACAGTCCCATAGTCCTTATTTATTAAAAAGAGAGGGACCTCTAAAGCACCTTTCTCTAAAATCTTATTATTCTAGGGCTGCTGGCCCTTAAAGATTCATAAAGTGAAGACAGGGCACTTAACTGGCTTCTAGAAATAGTAGAGAACCTCTGTTCAGAGCCATGGGGATCATTTGCACTGCTGGGGACATTTTTTGGTCTGTTTTAATGGTAGTCATAGACTCCTCTCATGGATGTGAGGAAAGTATGGCACCAACCAGCGTGCGGATGGTCGCTGTTTAACCAATCTTTTACACTTCAATTTGAGAAGAAAATCATAGAGAATAAAAGAAAGCGGCTTTCTCTTCTCCATAATACTAGAGGATGCTTTGTTGTCATCATCGGATGGATGACTGGCTATATTTCTTTGCACTCTTTCCATTTGTAGTTTTTTTCCCACCCCCAAAGGTGTTGCCTGCATTTCGGTTAATTCATATTTGTTGCCGAAGTTTAAAACATGGGGCATAACACGTCAAAATTTCACGGGGAGAAAATGATCCAGTGATTTTTATTTTTAAACAAGTAACTTCTTACTTCTAAAAGGCAAAGCACTTTTGGAAGAATAATCTATTATTATTTTAACATTTCCTGAAATTCTAATATAAAAAATTCAGTTTTCCAAAAATCCACTATTCTGTATACATTTCAAGATAACACAGTTAAAACTCAACGCATCTTATTGGAAGAAATTGTGAAAACTTTGGATTACTTGTGAAGGAGTTAAAAATGTTCTTTTCCTCTTGTTGATGTCAGTCCTGGACACTCTTACTCGTTGATATTTAAGTATATGCCATTAGTGCTCTATGGACGTGAGAAAACTGCTTTTTAAAATCAGGGAGGGGTACAAAGCAGCAAGAAGGATCACAGGGCACCACGGCACTGACAAATCACAGGAGGTGGTTTCATAAAGGTTGTGAAAACTAGTTCCTCATTGCAGGAATTGGGTTGGGCCACTCCTTCACCCCCCTTCTCAAACACAAATATTTTCATATAATAAAAGCCTGTTTATCTATGGTTATAACCCAGCCTTCCCTCCTCCGACACTACCATTTTAAAGGGGTTTACTGCGCGTACGTTTCCAAAGTTCCTAGGCTTTATCTCTTTCTGGACCGTGTCTTGTAGAGGTGAGGCGCCCCTTTGGGGACTCACGCCGGGTGAGGGGACAAGAAACACCCACTAGGACCCAACCCAGGCAGCCAGCGGCCCGAGCATGCGCTGAGAGTTTGTGCAGCTGGCCCCGGCTGCCGCCGCTGCCTCGTCCGGACTTGGCGAGGACTTGGGAGGGACAGCGGCGCTGGGAGGTGGCTTAGCAGAGACTTTCCAGCAACTGCTGCCCAGGACTCTTTTTTTTTTTCCTCCCCTTTTTCCCAGGAGGCGACGGCGGCGTGGGGAGAGAAGAGAAGGAAGCGTCTCCAGTTGGAGTCAATGCAGCCCCTCGGCTCTTCTGGAGGAGCGTCCGTGCCCCGATGAGCCCCCGCCGCGCGTCGCCGACTGTCCCCCGGCGGGAGTGGGGCGCGGGGCCCAGCGCCGACGGTGAGTGCCGCGCGTCTCCCGTCCTTCCTGCCGCGGTCCCGCCAGGCGCTGGCTGCCCACGGCGCCGTGTGCTAAACCACTTAGAGGCGCCTCAGGGCTCAGCGCCGCGCGCTCGGCC